ACATGCTGCTGTGAGCATGTAAGAAATATTGCTGCTGCAAATATAACATACATCAAGTAACCAGTGTTGGGCAAGTTACTTCCAAAATGTAATACATTATATATTACTTATTACTGCCTTTTGAAAGTAATTAGTTACATTACAATATTACTGTCTCTGAATTGTAATGTGTTACACTACTTTTGAGTTACTTTTGAGTTACTTTCACTTTCAAGCACAAACCACAATTACATTCAGAAATAATAGCGGTAAATAAAGCGGAATGTTATAGGCCCTAATGAACAAGCAATAAACACAATAGCAAGCCTATAGGCTATTTTAGTTCTCCTCACTCCACAACAAATCCTTTAAATTTAACTGTATTCAGTTCAAAACAAGAATGAAAAATATGTTGCTAAACAAGCCAAAACGAATTAATTTAAAGCGAAACTGCAAGCAAACGCCTTTGTTCTCACGCAGCCTAACGTTACCTCTATCATTCGGCACGAATCCAAATGTTTCCATATTCGCGATGTATTTCAATGCTAAACTATTATTTAGTATGTAAACCATGCTTTTGTACTTAACGCGATTTCCGCAAAAAAAATAAAAATAAAATCACACTCTTCACATGAACAAATATGTGCTTGGCCCGAGCTCAGGCTGAACGTCACGGATTGTACGGACGATTTTAATTAACCAGTGTATCTATATTTGGTTGACTATTTTATTCTGATAATGAACGGCTGTAATGTTTGCAATGCTGTATGTGTGAGGCTCCGGCGCAATCGAACAGCGGAAACATAAAATACTCCGTCATGGACGATCATACAGATCCTTCGAAACTGCAATGTGTTTACTTTTATTTTAGGATGCGCTTGTCATCTCGATTTCCTTTCCGTGAACTTTTGCAGCCACAAAAATGAACCAAAGTCTTTTTTCTTTCATTTTGTTAATCTGTTAATTATTTAAGTCAAATATATTTCGCGTATAAATTCATTTTAAATGTAGACTATGATTTAATAAAAACAGATTGTTATTTTTAGTTAAACTCAATTTCTGTTGCTTGTCTGCGCTCGTCCACCGCATTCTTTCTCTTCTCCAACCCCGCAGTAGCCTATGCCCATCTCACAAATGTAGAATCCGTCTCAGTCATCTCAACCATCGAATTAGAGCAACAGGAAATAGACAAAGTATTTTACCAGCGGAATTTATTGTCTGGTGCTGTTTTGCGGTGTTGGTAAATTCACCACTTAATTTTGAGTTAAAATATGTTGTTATAACATGCGTTACTGAGATAGTAACGAGTAATAATATTACCCAAATTTTATTAGTAATGCATTATTACTGCGTTACAGCGCTGTTTTGCCTGGTGCTGTTTTGCGGTGTTGGTAAATTCACCACTTAATTTTGAGTTAAAATATGTTGTAATAACATGCGTTACTGAGATAGTAACGAGTAATAATATTACCCAAATTTGATTAGTAATGCATTATTACTGCGTTACAGCCAAAAGTAATATACTACTGTAATACCGTTATTTTTGTAATGCGTTACTCCCAACACTGGAAATAACCCCCATATAGCATGCATGAATCACCTTGTAGCAGATCTATACAGGTGGAGCTGGGGAAGGATAATGATGTCATTAGGTCAGATTGAGTTAGACCTATCGGACTGCGCCATCTAGAGTTTCATGCCAGAAATCTGTATATATATATATATACCCGTATTGTGCTAGTTAAGATGATTAACTAAACAAGCTCCACCAGTGCTGAATTGGTTGATTATGTGATTGTGCTCCTCCCGAACCTTGTTAATAAAACATAATTTTGTGCTGTAAATGTGCAATTAATTAGGAAATGATTTTAATCGATCGACGACATTATATATATATATATATATATATATATATAATGTATATGTCTTGTGCTTGATTTGTTAGTATTTGCTGCTATTTGGCCCCATTCAACACCTTTAAAGCTGTCAATCACATTTACCTTATGAGAATCCACAGCCTTCCTAAATGCCTGGACCTTCTTGGCTATGTCTGTGATTTTCTGAGTGAAATCCCTCTTTTTTATTTTCAGTTCCTCCTGTGGGTGAATTTGTAATAAATAAGAATAATTTGCTTGAGTGACTTATGAAGTAATAGCAATATATGGTAACACTTTATTTTGATAGTCCAGTTAGACATTCTGCTAACTATAAGTAACTTTGCAACTACTGCTTAATATCTGCTAACACTTTGTTTTGATGGTCCACCAACAGATACTATTGACTGTACACAACTTTGCAAACATGTCAACTTATTCTAACCCTAACCATAGCATGGTAACAGTCTATTGAGAGTTAGTTGAAAGGAACTTACAAACTTCTTGTGCTTAAAATTATTGAGCTATCTCTGCTGATAGGGGGAAAAAAATGTGGTCTGGTACTGTATTATTTCATGGAAATATCATAGCAATTAATGCATTTAGTTATTTTTTATTTTTTTATATTTTGTGTTTATATTTTGGCCTATATTCACTATATAACAAAGTCTCTTACTGTATTATTTCATGGAAATATCATAGCAATTAATGCATTTAGTTATTTTTTTATATTTTGTGTTTATATTTTGGCCTATATTCACTATATAACAAAGTCTCTTGTACAGTGCCTTCCGAAAGTATTCATACCCCTTCATTTTTTTTTTTCACGTTTTGTTATATTGCTGCCTTATGCTAAACTGCTTTAAATTACTTTTTTTCCACATCAATCTATACTCCATACACCATAATGGTAGAGCAAAAACAGGTTTTAAACATCTTCGCAAATTTATTTAAAAAAAACAACTTAAATGATTCCATTTCGTAAGCATTCATACCCTTATCTGGCACAGTTAAAATTTAGCTCAGGAGCATTCATATTGCTTGTAGATGTCACTACACTTCGAGTGAAGTTAACCTGTGGCAAATTCAATTGAATGGATATGATCTGGAAAGGCACACACATCTTGATAAAAGGTCTAACAGCTGATAATGCATATCACAGCAAAAACCAAGCCCTGAGGTCAAAATAACTGCCTGTAGAGCTCAGAGACAGATTTGCGTCAAGCCACACATCTGGGGATGAGTTAAGGAAAAAAATTCTGCTTCATTGAAGGTTCACAGAAGCATGTAGTCTCTGTTACCCTTAATGGAAGATGTTTGAAATAACCAGGACTCTTCCTAGAGCTGGCCTCCTGGCCTAACTGAGCAACTGATGGAGAAGGGCTTTGGTTGGTGTGGTGACCAAGAACCTGATGGTCACTCTAGTTGAGCTCCATGATCATATGTGGAGATGGGAAAAACCTACAGAAGGACAAACACCACTGCAACACTCCATCGATTTGGGCTTTATGGCGGTCTGGCAAGACTCAATCCTCTGCTCAGTGAAGACACATGAAAACACACTTAGAATTTGCAAAAAAAAAAAAAGCAACTAAAGGACCCTCAGACTGTGAGAAATAATATTCTCTGGTCTGATGAACCTAAATTCCAAGCATCATGTTTGAAGGAAACCAAGTCTACTCATCACCTGCAGAGTACCATCCCAAAAGTAAATGAGTGGCCCAGACAGAGCCTGAGCTTGAACCCAATCAAATATTTCTGGAGAAACCTGAAAATGTGCGTCTGCCCCCATCCAACCTGACAGAGCTTGAGAGGTGAACAGGTGAGGTGAAGAATGGCAGAAAATTGCCAAATGCTAATGCGCAAAGCTTGTCGCATCAAACAAAAAAAGACTTGAGGCTGTAAAGGTGCTTCAGCTAAATATTTAGTTAAGGGTATGAATACTTACGCAATGCACTTATTTAAGACTTTTTATTTTTTATTAATTTACGAAGTTTTGAGAATTCTGTTTTTGCTTTGTCAATATGGTGTATGAAGTGTAGATTGATGTGGGAAAAAAGTACATTTAAGCAGTTTAACAAAAGGCAGCAACATAACAAAACGTGACATACAGTGCAAGGCACTGTATGTCATCGCTTAAATACATAGCACAGCATCTTACCTGTTTTTTAGCCATTTCAGCTGCTGCTGAGACTGTTTTATGTCCACTGTGCTGATCCCCCATACAAACCACACAAATACATTTCCGGTCATTATAGCAGTAAATCTCCAGTGCTTTATTATGTTGAGAGCAGATCTGCTGCTGTAGATTTGAGGAAGCGTTTACCAGCTTGTGCTTTTTGAAAGCTTCAGACTCATAATGAGGACGAATATGAGTTTGACAGTAAGAAGCCAAACACACCAGACAAGACTTGATGGCTTTGAGTTTTCTTCCTTTACATACATCACATTTCACATCTCTAGGTCCAGCTGGAACTTCCCGTTTCATTCCCTCTACAATTTCAGCCAACACCGTGCTTCTGCTGAGAGCTGGTCTTTGGTTGAATGTAGTCCTGCACGTAGGGCAGCTGTAAGCTCGTCTCAAAGAAGCATCCTGATCCCAGCACCCCTTTATACAGTCCATACAGAAACTGTGCCCACAAGTTGTAGTCACCGGGTTCTTAAGCAGATTCAGACAGATTGCGCAATTTAAAGGATTTTGAGTATCAAAGACAAGTTCTGCCATTTTGATGCTTTCAAATCCAGTGGAAGATTCGCTGTAGAATAACAGAGGCTTTGAAACTTGAAATTTGAATGGGAGTGGCTCCTGTGCAAACATGGAAAAAATTAAAATTAAAGAAAAAATAATAATCAGTATTTCCTGCCTCTGAAAGTTCAAGATAATTTAATCTGCACCATTCTGAAAAGCACTGTACATATACATTTAAAATTCAGAAACACATAGTCCTACATTTGCCCTACTGTAAATACACCCTGCTGCACAATTCTCAAAACACTCACACAAGAGCCTGACAAACAAGTTGAGATCACACTTTTTGATGTATGCACATTGTCTGCTGTGTTTGTCAGGTTCTCCCAGTAGTGGTAGGCCTATAAAAGTCTTTTGTGTAGACCTACTACACAACCAGTTAAAACAATACAGCCATAACAACTGGTACCTGCTGATTTAGAGTCTGGAAAAATACCTTTAATTTTATTTTTCACCAATACACACAAACACAGACTTCTATTACATCTGCGCCCAGTATCATGTATTGCGTTTTTAAATTTAGTTTTATTCACCAAGTAAGCTACAGTACAGTTAGACATACTCACAACTTGTCTGGCATTCCACAGGTGGTGGTTTTATATCATCCGGTATCAGTCACTCCATTGTCAACCGCATTACTGAATATAATAAAACAATGCAAATGAGCAAAAGAAATGGAACAGATTTTTGTGCCTGTATATATGCGATGTGTGCAAAGAAGGAAGTGCTCAACCTGAAAGAAAAAAAAAAAAGAGTAGGCTGCTCTTAAAGGGACACTACCCAATTCTACATGTTGCAACACAAACACCATATATTTAATATAAATGTGTCCAAGAGGTGTAAACTGTGATCAATGAAAATGTTGTTCATATGTTCCTCACATTTAATAAATAAGGGCCAATGAGTTTTCATCTGAAAATAATAATAATAATAATAATAATTGTATAATTTTAAAAGTTGCATATAATTTCAAAAGTTTTTGTGGCATATTGATTGGCACAAATAACATTAAAAAGAACACCAGAAATTCAATACATGTTCATGTTAAACATTTAACTCTGAGACAAGTTATATTTACAATGCCATTCATGCAAGTATACACACTTTGATAAGACTCTTGAGATCAAATCAGTGAGAGAAACAGAAGGACTGCACATGAGCAGAACAAATGATGAGCTTGCCGTTAATTTCTCTAAACCGTGCAGCCATTTCTCCATTTACATCATCAACTGCGCTGAAATAAAAGCGACGAAGTTCAATCTCATCACAGCGTTCATGTTGTCCTACGGTTTCCTCAACAGAGTAATGCTCCAACTTGCTCATTGTTCTTTTTTGTTTGGTCTCGTTTCTGCTGGGACCAGATCGCAGCTAATTCTCCAAAGCTCATTGAACTCATTGTCGTCTGATCGAACACAATCAGCAGCGAAATTTACAAAGTTAATGGCTGAGAGTAAATCTGTGTTTTCTGCTTGCAGCATTTTGTTTGCTGGCTCAAGAAGTTTCAGGATTTTATGTACCATAACGGCAATGAAGCTGAAGTTTGGTTCTGTCACTGAACGCACCAGCCCTGTAGCTTCAACATGAATGTCTGTGCCATAAGCGCGATCATTAGCTACTTACGTCCACCAACAATGAACGTATATCTCCCAGGGACTTGAGAATAACACAAACTTTGTCTAGATGTCCTGTCCACAGGGCTGTATTAACCATTGGGCTAAGCGGGGCTGAAGCCCCGGGGCCCGAGCAAGGAGGGGGCCCATGATTGGCTGTGGAGCAGATTGACTGGAGCGCTGATCACCAAAACCACCACGCCCCCCACTTATTAGCACTGTTATTTAGTTGAGCTTTTCCGTAAATTCCATGCATTACCATTTGAGATTGAAACGTAAAGTCTGAATTTGGTTTACCAATCAAATGCATTTATTCTGTATTTGACTTTTGAACGATATGTGCACGTATCTATCAGGTGATCACTGCCCAGTATGTCTGCATTCACCTCTCTTCACTTCATTCTGGAGTAATCTGGAAATGTTCGTGCAAAGAACAATATTTGATAAGTAAAAACTTCAAATACAAACAACAGAAAAAAACATGACTTAGTCAGTAGGCCTAAATTCCCCAGCTATCAGGTTATTTTACTAAAGCTGATGATGGAGTGGAATTTGTTGGAACAGCAAGTGAACCGGGCACATGGAGCAGATCAAAACAGTGTCATCGTCCACACAGATTTTAGGTTAGTTTGATTATTAACTGGATTTATATTGTTTTTGTGTTTGAACAAATTATATTCATTTAAAGGTTGGGAGATAATCCGGTAGAAATATATCAATCGTCGATTGAAGCGCGTCATGATGTAGGCCAAGCTTATCATTTAAACGAGTTTTAAGCAGGTTTTAAAACAAATGGTTTATACTGTTCATGGACATTAAGCAGCGGGGCAGAATTCATTCTGATAAATACGTGCGTTAAAACGGTTTCTGCCTGATAAGCACGGCGTGCACCTGCTCGTATAGGACTGACTAAACTTTCGCTCCTTGTGCTTAAACGTTCAAATACACATAGTTATGTGTCAAAATGCCCGTCTTTGCGAGGATCCTCGTAAACACAGTTATTTGTGTCTTAAATGAACGCTAATAGTTAAAGATAAAGCATGTGTAGTGTTAGGCTATATGAGATTCTGGATTATGAGATCTTAAAAGTATAGTTCACCCAAAAATTAAGATACTGTCATCATATACTTTCCCTCAAATTGTTCTAAACCTCTATGAATTTCTTTTTTCTCCTCAACATAAAACAAAGATATTGCTTTGTTATTGATATTGTTTTGAAAAATGATCGTAACCAGTTTCTGGTCCCCACCGACTCCAATAGTGTATTTTTTTTCATATGGAAGTCATGGGGGCTCAGCAACTGTTTGGTTACCAGTATTGTTCCAAATATATTATTTTGTGTTCAACAGCAGAAGGGATCTCATACAGGTTTAGAACAACAACAGAATTTTCATTTTTGGGTGAACTATTCCACTAAAGCAGCCTATAGCTGCTGTTGCCATTTGTGTCAATAATGTAAATCAAACATCAGAAAGAAAACCACTTACTGTCCTTGACTGAATCACTTTTCTAAAATAAATAAGAATAAATGTATATTGCATTTATACAGTGATGGCTATTCAGTCTATTTGCACATTTTCTTTATACAATATAATATTTATTATGCAGTGCTTTAAGTTTTTCAAGTAGGCCGATTTTTTATGATCTTTGTTCTGTTGTAGCCTAATTTGTGACTGTTTACTTGTCTTCAGTAAGCTTATTTTTACTTAGGCTAGTATTATTTTTTGTGATATTGAAATTGGTATATATATATATACAGTATATCATTATTGTGATGGGGGGCCCTGCAGTAAGTCATAGCCCCGGGGCCCAGTGCGGTCTTAATGCGGCCCTGCCTGTCCACCGCTGATCCAAGAGATGTTTTAGCTTCTCGCCTTTTTTTTTTTTTTTACAGATAAAAGACGTTCTATGACCTCAAAGTTGTCATCAACAAAACAAATCAAAATACTGACATTTTCGGCCCGTCGGGTCTCTGGTTCCATCAACTTTGACCGTATAAAATGCATCTCCTACTTCTCTGACAATTTCTTCTGTAACTAAAGTGCTCATTACTTCAATTACTTGATTCTGTATTTCGTGATTATTGTATGTTGCATTATGGGGAATTCTTTTCACAACATTTCTCAGTTCAGGATCTTTTCTGAGGGTAAACTCAAAGAGGGATAAAAAATAGCCTGCTGCCACCATCCAAAAAGCTACTAAATGTGTCTTGGTCTCCTCTAAGTGGCAGCTGGTTTGCACAGAGAAATTCGATCATGTCAATTATGCTTGAGAGGTAATAGCGATTTCGCTGAAGTTGATCTGTGTTTACATAAGAGTAGATATCTCCAAACCTTTTTGTGATCTGTGCTCTTTGTCCATCCACAGTGTCATGCATGCAATGTGCTCTTTTGGCCTAGCATGCTTTTCCAGTCCTTTTTCTGTTTCTAAGGTGTGTTCCCAGTCTCGAAAACCACTCGTTGTGAAAGCTGAATCGGAGGCGCCGGCGCCTGTGCGGTATTTTCTACAGGCGAAGCAAAACTGGGCATCCACTTTCACTGAATACTCCAACCAATTTCTCCCTATAAACCAATTGCTGGAAAACGAACTCTTTTTTCCTGAAAATAATGACACTGGATACTTCTCTAAAATGACTTGACATGGTGAATCTGTGCCGAGATCATTTGGAACTCGCTTATCTTCATCAGTTTTGAACACTGGCTGGTTATGAACTTGCTCAAAAATTAATTTCGGATAATTTTTAACCAAAAAATGTTACGGACTACAGCTTTAACTGAGATTAATAAATTGTTTAGAAGCATTTTTCTCTGTTAGTTCATGTTAACTAGTTGTTAACAAATCTGTAAAGTGTTACCTTTTTTGTGTTAAAATTCTCCTCCTTATCCTTAACAGGCATGATCAGCCAAGGTAAGCCATATATTGGTCTTAAAAAGTGAAAATACAGTGGAAATTCATGAATATGGAAATGCTGTTGTTTGTTTCAAAGTGATAAAGCTTCTTCTTTTTTTTAGCTTTAGCCCCTGCTTCTACATTCCTGTAATACAGAAACACACAATTTGGCTGCATGTTGAAGCTCAACATTCAGTTTTATCTCAGGATAAAAACATGCAAATCTTCCAAACGTACATAGTTATATATTGCAGCAGCTTTCAAGTGAAATGTCCATTAAGTGGCACCAAATGAGATGAAATATTTTCTCCAATACAGAAACAAACATACTTACTTAAATACTATCCTACGGATTTTTTCAAATGACCACTAAAGTCGTGGGGAAGTCGTGGCCTAATGGTCTAATGTCGTGGCCTAATGAGGACAAATGTGAGTTTGACAGTAAGAAGCCATACAAAACAAAGAAGGCTTGATGGCTTTGAGTTTTGAATATTTAGAAATGAGAATGGAAGTGGCTCCAATGCAAACATGACAAAATGAAAATAAAAAATAATGAAATCATTATTTCCTTCTACTAAAAGTTTCTGAAGATTCAAAAAAATAAAACACACAATTCTCAAAACACTCACACAAGAGCCTGACAAAAAGTTGAGATCACACTTTTTATGCACGGAATAAGGCAATAAGACAAATACGAAAGAGATACAAATTAAACTCATTTTTCAGATGCAGTAGGTTTACTTAGCATATTTATTTATCATCTTTTGTTGGTTAACATTAATGACACGGATAGGTATTTAATTAGGAATGCTGTCCCTTTAAGACGGAAGGCATGTATGTAATACTGATACACATTCAGTTTTCACCCACCTGTTTACGTTCAATTAATCCATAACCGACTGTATTTACCTGAGATACTCTAGTCTACACGATAGTCATTTGGACTGCTGTGTGTGTATTTAAGCGTTGAGAACTGATTGCCCGCTGTATATGAGAATTGAAGAAGTGGAGCGTGCGCGAGAGAGAGCACTTCTTTCAGCCCGATTTAATATAAGTTAATCGATAACGAATTGTGACTCCCGGGAAAAACGAGACGTCTGGTCACCTTATCCCTAACCCTTCGGGTGCTGAGGCCATTGTTTTATTTAACATCTTTTGTTGGTTAACATTAATGACACGGATAGGTACTTAATTAGGAATGCTGTCCCTTTAAGATGGAAGGCATGCATGTAATACTGACACACTAATGTAATACTGAGGCCATTGTTTCAGATCGCTAGTGTGCATTTTGGTAGCCTATGCATCCACTGTGGCTGCCATACTGAGACTAGATATGCAAACGCCCCTTATCCGATTGCAATCCAATCACAGGGATGCACATTATGAAGGACAAGACAGTCGCCTGTATATGTATTTTGAATGTTCGGTAGTCCTCAAATAACATTATAGTCCCGTCTTGTCTTGTTAACGAAGACACTGCATAAATTTCGTCATAGTTTTTATCATCAGATATTAGTTTTAGCTCGTCAACGTCTCATCTTAGTCACAGAAAAAAAATTTCGTTAACGAATATTTTTCGTCGTCATCTTCGTTGACGAAATTAGCACTGTTTCTCACAAGGGAAGCGATTTGAATCATCTGCAATTTACCCTATTTTGAAGAATACCAATTTTTCAAAACACTGAACTCCCAAATCGTTGTTAATGGCAAACTTAAAGAATTAAAGGGCGGTTTGATCTTTTGAAATGGAAGAGCTCAATATACAATAACTTCTAGTACTCACAACTTCCCAAAAAAAACATTTATTAAAGATGAGTACATTAACAGATGATCAACTACATTTATACATCAATGATGTCTGTTGAGTAATCAGAAACCTGGTCCGCTCCGTGATGGTGAGGTATTGAGGAGAAAGCATATAAATACTGTTATTCTTCAGCAAAGGCTTAGAAACTAGATATTTCTTCTTCTTTCTCCCCCAACTAAACAAAGCACTGTATGAATCTCGCTCTGTGCACAGGGGCATGTTTCTACCGAGTTGGGCACTCAATTCCAGAGCCTTGCCAGAACCTTTGGCAGTCTTAGACCACTTTTCCCTCCTCGCCAAACAGTTGGCAGTATGCATGTGCACAGGCTCTTTCTTGGCAACTGCTAAAACCAAATTTGTCCTTTGACTGCCAGATAACGAGGCTTGACCATCAGTGCACCAATTGCATTTCTAGTTTTACGCAACTCCAGCTGATCCTCAGCCTCATGCATGGTGATTCTAAGTTTGCGTGCAGCTGCACGGCCATGGAGACCCTTTTCCCTGGTGGGAAAATCTCATTTGTTCAGGAATTAGGGAAGGCTACAAACAAAGCCAATCCCTTACAAATGTCACTGATTGAGTTACTTACTAGCGACTGAGAGCATTTCCCCTGAAATAAATAACTTTGCTACATTGATGTCTTGGTGTTTGGTCACGTCTGAGTGACTGATTGAATATCAGCATGATCTGGCATTATGCTTCCATTTGTTCAGGTGCTTTACAAACTGAGAGCGCTTGTGCTTTGACGGAGTATTAAAAATGTCTGTCTGAATACATGAATCACCTCAGAAAGACTGATAGACAAAGAAGTCTGTCTTTTTCTTACTTTTTCCACTAGGGTTGCAAAGGGGTGGAACATTTCTGGTAAATTTCTGTAAACTTTCCAAAAATCCCTGGAATATTCCAAAAAATCCTGAAAAGTTTCCCAAATTTCTGGAATATTTCCTAAATTTACTGGAATTTTTCCAACTTTTCGCAGCCCTACTTTCCACTCCTTTCCTTCTTTCGTACTCTGTTTTTAGGCCATATCAATATAATGACCTAAAAAGTGGAAGCAGGGCTTTTCTCCACCCATTCTATTGAATTAAAGATTTGGGCTGAAATGTGAGGAGGAGAATACCAGAAAAGAGAGACACTTTCATGCACATATTTTGTGCAAAAATAGTGCCTGAGAATTGTGCAACTCGTCAAACCTTTGACCCAGATCTTTTCAGAGAGAGGTTGCAACGCATGTACAGCAACAGTCGGTATCCTCCTAAAATGTTTCTTTTCACACTGAACATCATGGATTATTTGGAGAGAGAAGAAGTGATGGACATGTCATTACACTGACACACTTTCCGAAGAATGCTGGCAAATGTAATATTCATCTGGCATCAATTCAGTCACTAAATTCCAGCTTAAAATGGTTGATGTGGGGTTTATGTTGTCTGCAGTGGATCCAAGAATGAAGAGCACAGATGGGAGCTGCTGCTGCTGTCCTCACTTTGCAATGAACCTTTGGCTCCAGAGGAGCACATAGTGAACTTTGTTTTAACCTTGTGATGCGTAAAATATTAAATTGCAAAAATATATATATTACTGCTTTTTCCTAAGACCATAATAATGAGATGGTAATATTTATTTATTAAATTTTTTTATTTTTTGCTCATTCATTCTTAAAATTGCCTCAAACACCTTTGACATAATAGCAGTGAGCAAATGTTTAATGTTTTTGGAAGAAGTCAGCATATTAAAATGATTTCTGAAGGCTCAATTGACACTGATGAAAATGTTTTAAACTGTAATAACATTTCACCATATTACTGTTTTTACTGCATTTTTGACCCTTGCCTTGGTGAGCATAAGATACTTCCTTCAAAAACATTAACAATTCTTAATGTGTGTGTGTGTGTGTGTGTCACTGCTAATACACTAATATATTAATATTTATTACTCAACTTATGGAAAAGCTATTTTCTCTATTCCAGAGTATTATAAAGTTACTGAACAGATTTTAGTACTTAAGTATGTTGGTATCTTAACATCATATCAGTTAATGAAGTATACTTTGTAAATAAAAACTAAATTAAAAATTCTGGCAACTACATGCAGCTGCCTTTTTTACAGTAAATTCCATAGATTTTTTTTCCCCAGTTTACTGAATATGGAACTGTAGATGTAACTGCAGTATTTAAATGTATGTAAATTAAATGCAAACATACAGTAATCTTGTAAATTAAAATTACTATTTGAAGTAACGGTTTCATATGTTATTTAAAAAAGCTGTGACCGCAAAGCCATTATTCCAGTCTACTAAGAAAGCCTTGTGTTATATTGGAAGAACTATGGCCTGCACAAAGCCCAGACTTGAACCCTTTCAAACACCTGAAATTAATTGACCTCCATGATACTTGTTTAAATGAGAGAAAATCCCCACATCTTAGATCCAACATCAAGTGGAGAGCCTTTCCCAGAGGAGTGGAAGCTGTCAGTGAGGGCTGGTTCTCTATTAATGCATGTTTTTTAAATTGAAAGTCCTCAAGAAGAATATCTCTTTGGATTTGAGACTTTAGTCTTTGCAACTTTACAGATCTTCTTTATGCACCAAGAGCTTGTATCACTCCAAAGAGAAAGGAAAAATTGAAATCGCATCATATGACCCCTTTAACATAATTATATCTTTTGTTGGTTAACATTAATGACACGGATAGGTATTTAATTAGGAATGCTGTCCCTTTAAGACGGAAGGCATGTATGTAATACTGATACACATTCAGTTTTCACCCACCTGTTTACGTTCAATTAATCCATAACCGACTGTATTTACCTGAGATACTCTAGTCTACACGATAGTCATTTGGACTGCTGTGTGTGTATTTAAGCGTTGAGAACTGATTGCCCGCTGTATATGAGAATTGAAGAAGTGGAGCGTGCGCGAGAGAGAGCACTTCTTTCAGCCCGATTTAATATAAGTTAATCGATAACGAATTGTGACTCCCGGGAAAAACGAGACGTCTGGTCACCTTATCCCTAACCCTTCGGGTGCTGAGGCCATTGTTTCAGATCGCTAGTTCGCATTTTGGTAGCCTATGCATCCACTGTGGCTGCCATACTGAGACTAGATATGCAAACGCCCCTTATCCGATTGCAATCCAATCACAGGGATGCACATTATGAAGGACAAGACAGTCGCCTGTATATGTATTTTGAATGTTCGGTAGTCCTCAAATAACATTATAGTCCCGTCTCGTCTTGTTAACGAAGACACGGCATAAATTTCGTCATAGATTTTATCATCATATATTAGTTTTAGCTCGTCAACGTCTTGTCTTAGTTACAGAAAAAATGTTCGTTAACGAATATTTTTCGTCGTCGTCTTCGTTGACGAAATTAACACTGATATACATTGTACAGTATTGCCTGCGTTGTGCCGAAATCGGTGACTATATGGGTGTGTCGATCCGAAGTATCGATATATCGTATCGTAATTGATACTCAAACAAAAATATAGATATTAAGGTGTGTTTTATTTACCAGTGATTTTGTTTATTTAACAAAACAAATGCGTACAATATTCATTGAATTGGACGAATAACCTATGTTAGCGAATAATTGTGTAGAACTATTTTCCTGCTCATCTGAACACAGAGCAAATGTTGCAAGACAGAACCAATCCATCACAGAGAGCGTTCACTCACTTCTGACAGTGCATTCAAACAGGGCTGCGTTTCCCAAAAGTATCATAGGAAAGCATTAAAGCTTTTGGGAATGGCAGCCCTGAACAATGCTTATCAGAGGAAAGAAAACAAAACATATGTGTTTGAGTTATTTCACAATAAACAAATGGAAATTGTAGCCTACATAGTTTGTGCAATTACATTTATTTAAATTGAACGTTGAAAGATAATATTGATCATGTTCTATTCTGTAATGTTAATGGAAACCATACACTGTCAGAATAAAAAGGTTGCATTTTATGCATGCAACAGCCTTTCAGTGTCAGTCCCTTATGAAAATGAACCATGGTTTTACTAAAGTGACCATAGTTCAACTGTAGTATTTGTAGATTTGCATCATGTGTAAACAAAAAATATATTTGAACCATGTGGAAACAAAAATATAACCTAATAAGTTACAATTAAGGGGTATTGAATGTTAAAATGTGTTTTAAACAAAGTTAAGTGGTTATCATTACCCATTTTACTCTTAGTAATTTAATAATTTAATAAACTTCATATTTTAAAAGTTTAGTTCAGAAGTATCGTATCGGTATCGATATCGATATCGCCGATACTGACCTTTAAAAGTATCGGTATCGTATCGAAAACAAAATAAGTGGTATCGCCCATCCTTATCGGTGACCTAGCGAAAACTGTGACCAGGGGTCGCTGTTCAGCAAATGTTCGCGCAGGAGTGCGCACACGTTAGATCAGACGCTGCTGAAGCCAAATGATCAGGAGGCAAGACAGAAATGCTGCTGCTGTCTGCTAATGTGTTACTACTAAGAATGGTTTCCTGAGATGTTTTAGCGTTTGTTATGTAAAACATATTCTGATTACCTGATAAATCTAGGTCTTATCTTTATTATTACTGTTTACTGTAATTACCCAATAATGTTGGAGATCTACAGTTTGTTCCTTACAAATGCATATGCTTGCAGTTGGCTAGGGTCACTGAATCTGACAAGTAAAAATTAATATAGCTATCAAAATGTTACCACTCTTATTCAAATTTTCTACTCTTCTTTTTCTTTGTAACACATTGTCCCTTGTCATATTTTTGCACGTATCTTAGCTTTTTGAATGGTTTCAAACTTATACCCTCTATATAAAAATCGTTTTTTTCTAGACTCTTATCTTTATCTTCAAAATCCTGCTCTTTATCACAAATCCTACGTAATCTTTGAAACTACCCCAAAGGTATATTATTTATCAACTTGGGAGGGTGAAAACTATTAGCATGGAGGATGGTATTTCTGTCTGTGGGCTTTCTAAAGACTGATGTATGTAAAAATCCCTCTTTAATAATTTCCTAGTCCAAAAAGTTAATATTTTCCTTATTATATTCTAAAGATAATTTCACATTGGGATTGGTATTATAAAGATATTGATTAAATTAAATTAAATCTTCCTCTGAACCTGAAAAAAATAGAATGACATCATCAATGTAACGTTCCCTCCAAATAATATTATGTAAGTAAGGATTTGATTCAGAGTTCAGTACATTATCTTTTTCCCATTTTCCTAAATATAAACCAGCATAGGAAGGGCTATAACATGCCCCCATAGCGCATCCTTTTACTTGTTTAAAAATCTTATCTTGAAAGACAAATATATATTATATATTGTGATATATACAAATACAATATACAAAAATATATATTGTCCATTTTGTTAGGTTTAATAAAAACTCAGAAGGTGGTAACTCAGTTTCAGGCCTACTTTTCATAAGGTATTCCAAGGCCAACAAACCATTCTCATGGTCAGTGTTTGTATATAAAGTCTCAATGTCCATGGTTAGCATATGTGACCCTGGACCACAAAACCAGTCATAAGCTTTGCATCACAATAATAAATTACATTTAAAAATATATTCAAATAGAAAACAGTAGCCTAATATTTCACAACCTTGTTGACCAGAAGAGACTTATTTCAAGAACGTTAACAAAAAAATCTTAATTATTTTAAACTTTTGTTTTGATTAGTAGTGTATACTCGCATTATAATCTGGGGTGGACTCAAAAATGACAGACACTTCTTTGTAATGTTCACGACACTCTCTTCTAGGATGTCTCTAGGATTCCTGAGGTTTGTTTTGAGTCAGACACTAAGCCCCAGTCCTCTTCGACCCATCAGCCGGGTCATCTCACGCCTGGCAAGGAACCCATCAACCCTCAGGCCAGCATGTTCTTGCCATATTGTCTCGCCCTGGCTATGTACGTACTTCTCCACAGACACTGAGAGCGGGAGCACCAGTGTGACAGATTTCCAGAAGGAAACGAAAAAGCTGGACCCAAGAGCACGAGTCACTTTTGGCAGCGTGGGTAGGAAGATTGGTCAGCGCCATATACAGTTATTGGGTGAGGATGGAGAGGAATTGGGTACAATGCACCGTGCTGATGTAATACGACTGATGGACGAAACAGGGCTGAGGCTTGTTGCCATAAATGACAACTGTGATCCTCCATTATACAGACTGATGAAAGGGAAACAGATCCACGAAGAGCAGATGAAACTCAGAGACACACAGAAAGCCAAGAAAGGTCAGGAAAAATTGTGACACTGGACCACAGAACCAGTCATAAGGGTCAATTTTTCGAAATTGGGATGTATACATCATCTGAAAGCTGAATAAATAAGCTTTCCATTGATGTATGGTTTGTTAGGATATAACAATATTTGGCCGAGATACAACTATTTGAAAATCTGGAATCTGAGGGTGCAAAAAAATCAAAATATTGAGAAAATCGCCTTTATAGCTGTCCAAATGAAGTTCTTAGCAATGTATATTACTAATCAAAAATGAAGTTTTTATATATTTACAGTAGGAAATTTACAAAATATCTTCATGGAACATGATCTTATATTGCTTATATTGCATCTTAATGTCCTAATGATTTTTGGCATAAAAGAAAATCAATCATTTTGACCCATACAATGTATTTTTGGCTTTTGTTACAAATATACCCCAGCGACTTAAGACTGGTTTTGTGCTCCAGGGTCACAT